CCTCCTTCGAATCTGTCTAGTGCTCACTATCAGCCTGCGCCCCGGTCTTTCTCGGCAAACCCGTATCCTGTCATCGAGGGATCCCCGACATACAAGCAGCGCAGACGTAGGTCATCTATCCCGCCCAGCACCGGTGCTGCTGCACCAGGCAGCGCTGCTCACGCCCAATCAACAACTCCAGGCCCTCAGTCAGTCTCGTACGCTGCTCACAGACCAAGTGATCTGCGGCGTTCGGTTTCTAGCTCAGTCGCTCCAGTTGCAGAGGGGGATGAAGCCACCCAGGAAATCGCTCGCACTTACCCAAGTGCAATGCTGCCACAAAAGGATCTTCTTCATGAAATGTCCCGTCATGGCACGCCGCTACAGAGCATAGACCAGAGCACCGCACAACATCCAGGCTCAATGGCAAACCAAACCAATGATCTGACATCTCTGCCGAGCAGTGGTGCCATCGAGACTGCGGTTCAAAATACTACTGGTCGGTCCGAGCGTTCGGCGCCTGGTCCTACTCGGAGAGCCAGGAGTGCAACCATGATGGAGTTGGGCCCGTATCCCACCAAGGCCCATTCTTGCCCCATCCCGTCATGCGGTAGAACCTTCAAGAGATTAGAGCACCTCAAAAGGTAAGCTTGCTTCTATTTTTGACTCACGTTGGTGGGGCTATTCTGCACCGTGCGCCGTGAAACCGTTTCAATAGCCGCCGACTAACCCCTTTTACTAGACACGTGAGAACGCACACACAAGAGCGTCCGTACCCCTGCCCTTACTGCAGCAAAGCTTTCTCGAGGTCCGATAATCTTGCACAGTGAGTTCCTATTGTTCTCTTTCTTTTACGACTTTCACTAATTTTTGCTAGACATCGTCGGATCCATGAAGCGCAGCAGGATGGTCAGGCAATTGCCCCGACTGACGAAGATCTGGAGAATGACGCACACGAATTCGGTTCCCCCAGGGAAGATATGTCCCCGCCGGAGCCAGCTCACACAGTGATTAGCATGCCCAATATGACGTCGATGGCAGCTCCTTTGAGCATGCCGTCCGCCCTGACTGGCATGCCGACTTCACACATGATCGCCCCGCAACTCCTCCAGCAACACATGTGAGAACGCTACGGAGCACGGTGCGTCTATGCAAAACAGTAGATGCATAACCTCATGTATTCATTGCCGGGGATGTTCCGGGCAACTGTTTCAATTCTCCTTTCTCTTCGGGTCTTCCGGGCGCATACAGGCGTCTTTTGCTTCGGCTTTATATTGCCTCTTGTTTAATAATCGCACATGGTCCAATACTGGCGTTGCACATACCGCGATATTCGTGTATAGTTCGCGTGTTATGTCTTTGCTTGTCCTTGACATAGTATCCATTTGTCTTTTTATTTCGTTTGGTTTCTTTTTGGGTTTCGCGCTGTGCGATGGTTACAGGAAACATCGTGTATTATTGGTGTGGGCTGCCCTGCACGTGAATTAGGTTGCGCTGGCAGACATTCATTTCATGCTGGCTGGCGGGCACGGGCATCAGAGAGGTTCGACTATCTCTCGATGGGAAATGGGTTGGGAAGGGGAAGATTCGGGTTGGCTTCTTGGATCGTCAGGCATTGTCCATGGAGACCGGCTGGGGAATGGTAAGGTTATTTTGTACGCCTCAAACACACTATATAGACAGAGACATTGTGTAACGACTTTGAATTGGAATTTGAAAAAACACTTGAAAACTTTATAACTATCATTATTGCCTTGTACACTTGCTCGAATGCGTTTATGGTTGTAATGATGTGAGAAAGGGCTGTGATGGTCTATAAATGGTACATCACGTGTTGCTGACGTCGATCACTTCTGCAGCCCTTCGTGATAGACATCTCAACCAGATCGCCCATCTGATACACTGCGCTTTGATCAGGAGGCTATAACCTGTCGAGTTTTACGTTTGTTCAGCTATATCTGGCTGGTAAACGATGTTTGGTTGCCAACACCCAGCACAACTCCATCTTTCTGGCGATATCTAAGTCCCCACACTCCAATAACCCACAGTAGTCCAGACTACCTACCACCAACACCGGGGTTGTAAAGTCAACCAAAAGAAAATTCGCAGTCAACAGCTACACTCAAAAAAGAAAAAGCAAATCTCAGCTGAGCGCTGAATTCTGCGCCACAGTCAGCAGCTGGAAATACCAGCAGCCCCAACCACATCCAAACACACATCCGCGGGTTCTTCGGGTTAATACTGGTTGCTACCAATTCAAAACATCGACATCCCGACCCTTTAATTCTCCGATGAGAGACTTGGATTACAAGCCTACCCCCAATTCTATCGACGAGAGTTCGCCTCTCATGGTTGCTACTCACCCTGCAGCCCGGCACGGTGCCGGTGCCGATGAGTCGTCTAAGAGTGCGCTGTACATGTTTCTTTTGACTGTGTCTATTGGTGGGTAAGTAACTTCGAATATGGTGATTTGATTTTATTTGCTTAATGCTATTGTGACTTACATACTGGGCATCTATTGACATTGGGCTCCTTTGACAGACTTCAGATTGTTTGGTCTGTCGAACTTGGTAATGGATCGGTAAGTAACTATAGGTCGTGACACGCAGAAGATGCTTCAATTTTAATTTGCATTGCTTCTTTCGTCCTGAAGTCGCAACATTAGGTGAAACATACTAACTCGGGTACAGCCATACCTTCTATCCCTTGGGATGAGCAAGTCGCTTCTTGCCTTTGTTTGGATAGCCAGTCCCTTGACGGGTGCGCTGGTGCAACCATACATCGGCATCCGAAGCGATAACTGCCGACTCGCGTGGGGCAAGAGGAAACCGTTCATGGTCGTTGGAGGCGCAGCAACCGTCGTCTCATTGCTAGCTCTGGCATGGGTGAAAGAGATTGTGGGAGGGTTTCTATCTATATTTGGTGTCGAACCAACATCTGCAGGGACCAAGGCTGTTATCATTATCATGGCAACGATCTTCATGTATTGCCTTGATTTCGCCATCAACACAGGTGCGCCTTCCGGTCGGTATCTTCACGTTTATACTTGCCTGGCTAATTACCATCTTATAGTGCAAGCTGCAATCAGAGCATTCATTGTTGACAACTGCCCCACCCACCAACAGGAGCTGGCCAACGCCTGGGCTAGCCGGATGGTCGGCGTTGGCAACATCTTGGGGTATATCTTTGGCTATATGGACCTGCCGAAGGCCGTCCCTTTCTTGGGAAATACACAATTCAAGGTCCTGTGCGTGCTCGCCTCGGCCTTTCTGGGCGCAACCCTTGCCTTCAGTTGCATCTACATCAAAGAGCGGGATCCTCGAGGAGACGAGCCTGTGACCGACAAGCTGGGCGTGGTCTCCTTTTTCAAACAAGTCATCAAGTCGATTCGGAGCTTGCCAACGCAGATTTCCCGCGTCTGTCAGGTGCAGATCGCAGCGTGGGTGGGCTGGTTCCCATTCCTGTACTACTCCACGACTTATGTCGGACAGCTGTATGTCAATCCCGTTTTCGCAGATAACCCCGATCTCTCCGAGGGTGACGTCGATAAGGCCTGGGAAGCCGCTACTCGTGTCGGAACATTAGCTCTCCTCATCTATGCTATCATCTCTTTCCTTGGCAATATCTTGCTTCCTCTTTTCGTGGTCCCCTTATATGGGCCGGCGCCAAAGACTGTCTCGCAACGGGATTCTCTAGACGGCAGTTCAGATGACGATGCAGAACCCGCTGCAAGGAGAGTATCATTTTCAAGTATGCCGACGGGCACTGCATCCGAGCCTCTGCTCGACGCGGTTTCACTCGAGCAGGAGACTGAAGGGAAACCGACTTGGCTTTCACGCCTGCGCATCCCGGGCTTGACTCTCCCGCGAGTCTGGCTTCTCTCCCACCTCCTCTTTGCAGCATGCATGTTCAGCACTTTCTTTATCTACTCTCATCAAGCCGGGTCGGCGTTTGTGGGCCTTGTCGGTATCTCCTGGGCTGTAGCGCTGTGGGCTCCCTTCGCTCTGATCTCGGCGGAGGTAGCTAGGATTGATCCTTCAAGACGAAATCGCCACCACACAGCTCAGAGCACCTATAATGAGCATGAAAGTGAGGCTCAAGGCGAGGGTCCTGGTGATCATGACAGCGTCGGTGGCAGTGATGTTGAGCATGGACACCCGAAGGACTATCGTGAGGGCGAGGATGTTGCACAGGCGGGTATTATTCTTGGCCTGCATAATATGGCTGTTTCCCTACCCCAGATTCTGTCTAGTCTTGTTTGCAGTGCTATTTTCAAAGTGTCTCAGAAGCAAAGAGGGGAGCCGTGGGATGATAGTGTGGGATGGGTGCTACGGTTTGGTGGATGTGCTGCGTTAGTGGCTGCATGGTTGACTAGAAGGGTTTCGGATGGGTCAAGGTAAACTTGGATACATAGGTCCTACAATATTCGTTGGATTCTTGTATAGTATGTTGTATGTATTTCCAAGCAAAGATTAACCCCAGCCTTGTCTATAAATAACACAAAAGGGATTCTGCAGGGATAGCGATAGTCGTACGGAGTATGTGGGTCCTCCTATACAGCCCTAGAGCATTATCAAATTATATCATCAAGTAAATGATGATGTGTTCTCGCACTGAACTGGATTGACACCCTTATGTTGCTGGCTACGTATTTTGCCTGAATCCACCGGTTGCGCGGCACTTCGAAAATCGGCCCACGTGTAATTTTTAATTACCAATACACAACATATCTTACACTATCGGTGTATTATTCCAGTTTACCCACCAATTTGGTTCCGACCAGCCCTGCCGTATTCTGTATCGTACAAGCCCGTACCTGACCTCTTATCTGTCCCTCGGATGCAACTTAAGCAGCCCGTGTCCTATTACGGCCAACACAATTCGATCTTGTCGCAAACTGTCATCCATCTCTTCGTGGATTTGGATTATGTGCGCCTGGTCCTGCCATCTCAATTTCACTGTGGGAGTGAACTGCCAGTCATCCGCCCTGGCCCTTGATACTTCCCAAGGCGTGAGCCGCGATGGCTAGCCAACTTATGAACGATGGCCTACACGCCCTGCTTCGTATGTCCCTCTGAGCGATGATCTTGGACGCTGCGCTTTAATTTTTCATTTGGACTGCGAGCTAACATATCTATTTCTGTTATAGGGAGAGCCGCTGAGGACTCCGATCCCGACGGTACGCGTGTCTAAACTCACCCCCCTCATCCCTCCCCCCTCGTCTTGTCGCGATATAGCGCTATTCAGCTTCGGATATCTAACTAGTATGGCAAACTACAGATGCCCCCGAGGCAGGGTCCAAGGAGATCACAAGCTCCTGGGCATTGTTTATCATGATCATGTTGTTGATGTTCGCCCTATTCACGAGCTACATCCTTCAGCAGAAGAAGATCCAAGCTGTCCATGAGACGGTTCTATCAATTTTTGCAGGTAGGCGATATCCTCAGTGGCACAGACACAAACTGGAAATATACAAAACTTCGTTTGGTCTACGCGAATTAGTACGGACTTGCTAACGGTCGCCAGGGATGTTCGTTGGACTACTTATCCGTTTCACAGACTCCACCCTCCAAGACAGCGTCGCCTTCGACTACCAATTCTTCTTCAACCTCCTTCTCCCTCCGATTATTCTCGCCTCTGGTTATGAGCTCCACCAGGCGAACTTCTTCCGACATATCGGCACGATTCTCACATTTGCGTTCGCCGGTACTTTTATCTCCGCAATCGCTCTCGGTCTGGTGCTGTACCTATGGACACGGATCCCGCTGAGTGGGTTGGATATCTCTTTCGTCGAAGCTATTTCGGTCGGCGCAACTCTCTCCGCTACGGACCCTGTCACCATCTTAGCTATCTTCAATCTTTATAAGGTCGAGCCGAAGCTGTATACTATCATTTTTGGCGAGTCGATCCTGAACGATGCTATTGCCATCGTGCTCTTCGAGACGGCGCAGAGGTATCACGAGACCGGCGCGGCTGGCTCTTTGACCTTCCTCAATATATTTGAGGCCGTGGGGCTCTTTTTACTCGTCTTCTTTGGTAGTATGGTTGTCGGAATGCTGGTTGGAATCGCGACCGCGCTAGGTCTCAAATACACCCTCGTGCGACGCTTGCCCAAGATCGAGAGCTGTCTGATCATCTTGGTCGCATACGCCAGCTACTTCTTCTCCAATGGCGTGCACCTTTCCGGCATTGTCTCGCTCTTGTTTTGTGGTATCACCCTCAAGCACTATGCTTACTATAACATGTCGCGTCGCACGCAGTTGACCACCAAGTACCTGTTCCAGGTGATGGCTCAACTTTCAGAGAACTTCATTTTTATTTACCTCGGCCTTGACCTCTTCGTGGAGCCTAACCTCCAGTTCAACCCCTTGTTCATCCTGGTGGCAGTGTTTGGTATCTGTCTCGCCCGCTACCTCGCGGTCTTCCCGCTTTCCAAGGCTATCAATTGGTTCATTCGGTACCGAGCACGCCGCCGCGGCGTGGACGTTCCCGACGAGCTGCCTTTCGCTTATCAGGCGATGCTCTACTGGGCTGGATTACGTGGTGCCGTCGGTGTTGCGCTAGCAGCTGGTCTATCAGGAGTCAACGCCCCGCACTTCGTGCGACGGTCCTTGTCGTCGTTGTGCTAACCGTCATCATCTTCGGTGGAACAACTGCACGCATGTTGGAGATTCTGGGCATTCGAACGGGTGTGGTCGAAGAGCTTGACTCGGACGATGAATTCGACACCGAGGTGACCCATGGCGGCACCTACTACAAGCGCTCCGGCACGAGCCTGGGATACATCCCGCGACGCGCCGACTCGGTGATCCCCATGGATGGGGTCACCACTCCACGCGCCGAAGGCGAGCGTACACACAGCTACTCCAGCGGCAACAGTCGCCGTCCAAGCCCACCCTATACCCACACAAGAATGTACTCCGCCGCATACAGCAACAAAGACCAGTCCTGGCGCGACCGTCAATCCGCTGCGACGTTACTCAACGGCGCCTCTGGGCCGAGCGCCGGCGAAGGCAGCGACGACGAGTTCGGCCTGCCACCCTCGGGCCCTGGCCGCTCCAATGATCCCACCCACCCAGACGAGTTCGACCTCGATATCGAGGGCGTCTCTGACGACGACCTCCCACCGGCTGCAAGCGGGGCCTCGCGTCTCCGCCGATCCGCCTCTCAACCCCCTCACCCTTCGAGCGCCCCACCTACCAACGCCGCGGCATCAACCAGCGTCTCACCCACTCGCCAGCCAGTCGGTATGTCCGCGCGGGATGCGGTGCGGGGTTTGTTTTCGGGAGGTGCTTCGGGCGATCATGCCGCTTGGTTCCGCCAGCTCGATGAGGACTATATCAAGCCCACACTTTTGCTGGACCAGTCGAATCATAAAGGACCTGGGCCTGGTGCGGTTTGATATGATGATACCTTGGAACTGGCCTTCATTTTGTTTTCTTTGATCTGGGTGTATATTTAGCCTTTCTTGTTTGGGTCTGCATTCTCGTTATTGTTTCCTTTTCTGCATTTTTGGCTTACATACAAGGCCTGATTGTCTGTATGAGCTTGTGTAAACGATACGTTTGAAACTTATAGATGTCAACAGATTTTCAAGTGGGACGGATGTACATGGACCTTGTAGAGCATTGGAAGTCATAGAATTGAGTTTCTCCGCACTTTAGCGTTATCTGTTACCCCACACTTGGGATATCTCACCTTCTCAAGATAGTCGGACAGGATAGTCGGACAGGATAGTCGGACCTCCCGACATGAGATAGACAAAAGAATAATCGACAGCTCTCGGCACATGGCGATTTAATAAACGTAACACCCTAAGATAAGCAAAGGCTTCGCCTCCGTGCGATCCCATCTCCGTGCGTTCATATCTCCTGTGTTATCGCCCACTCGGATCAGCCATAGCTATCTGCGTAAAGCATCTACATACGTAGCCTAGGAGTCTAATTATTTACGGCGCAGTTCTTGATTCGGAAGGACTTACCCCAATGTCTATCTTCTAAGTCATCTGGTCCTTGTATTAGCTTCGAGGCTTGCGGTTATGCACTGATGTAGATAGGATTAGCGAGGGTTTCCTACCTGATCGGCTGCCGCTTTACACAACCGTATATGACATCTACTATAATCAGGATATATATCAGTACGTAGTAATATACGCTACACTGTGTGGCATGGTTGAGCCCCCACGTGGTTACTTCGTCTTCCATTCTGGGGGCCTACTTGTGAAAAGCAAAGAATTTCTTGAATATTGACGTAGATACTGGACAGACGCCGGAAGTGAATATATCAGATCTCTTTTCAGTAAACCTGTGTATCCAAGGTCGTTAGTAAATTATCCCCGATCACCTAGGCAACATGTCAAACAACCTATGGCTTTCATGGTGTGCTGAGTTCTACCCAGCCACCAAAAGGCAGCAAGGGGTGAGTCCTAAACGGGACGGATCGTTTCGATAGCATACATGTATACAATGTTGTACATGTATTTATGCTTCCCCGCCCCGCTAGGCGAGCCGCTTTTGATTCTAGGTCGATCTTCTTTGAAAGAGAGGAGATATGCAGTATTGTGTCATGGACCCCCTCAGCATTTGCTGCAGATAAATCTAGCTATTCTGGATTCTGGAATCGGAAGGTATTTGAAGGCTATATCTAGAGACCTTCACCAGACGGCAAGGATCTGCGCTTACTGCACCACCTATCTGGCTCTTGAATTGGTGCTTATAGTACTCGTGTCCATCGGAATATTGACCTCCTCTTTTTCTTTCTTCCCAACGTCTTCATTTCTATTAGGTGTTGAGCGTCCGTTCGCGTTTATTTGTTTGCCTATCCACCCGCTCGTTTCCCTCTATAATCATTACACGTACTCTCGCCATGGACGATACAATGGAGAAAGTGGCATCCCAGACAAGCAAGAGGCGACAGTCGACAGCTACAGGCCATGACTCGAAGCCCCAGGCTGGAGATACCGAGCTGCTAGGTGTGTATATTGCGCGACTTACTGGCCTGGTGTAACCATGATCGTTGCCACTAACTGATCAACAGCGACACTCGGGTACAAGCAGGAATTGCGGCGTCATTATTCGACTATTCAGATATTTGCTGTCGCCTTTAGTATTATGGGGCTTTTACCTTCCATTGCGTCTACGTTGGCGTTTTCAATGCCCGCTGGTCCGGTGGGAATGGTTTGGGTAATATACTCTGGCTGGAATTTATTAGTATTGTGACTGACCGAATGACTAGGGTATGCAACTATCTTTTCAGGTGTATAGTTCTAGCAATTGTTAACTGGTTCTTTTGACAGGGTGGTTGGTTGCAAGTTGCTTTATCTTTATTGTGAGCTTGGCAATGGTATGGTTTACTCAATCTACAACCCTAAAAATGACTGAACTAATGACCATCAGGCCGATATGGCATCTGCAATGCCCACAGCAGGCGGACTCTACTTCTGGACGCATTACTTCGCGTCCGAGAAATGGAAGAACCCGCTCAGTTTCCTCGTCGGATATAGCAATACCATCGGCTTGATCGGGGCATATGCTCAATTGACTGTAAGTTAGCCTATATAAGTACAGACCCAATAAGAACCCAATCACTAACTCTTCCCCTCAGATGGTTTCGCCAGCATGTTCCTCTCAGTCATCTCACTCGTCCGCGACGGCAACTGGTCCGCAACACGACCAGTCATCTACGGTACATACGTAGCAACAGTCTTCGCACACGGTTTCATCGCCATATTCTTCGCCCGGATGATGCCAAAGATCCAATCCGCCTGTATCTTCCTCAACATCGCTCTCGTAGTAGCAACCGTCATCGCTCTACCCTTAGGAAAAGCAAAGAACAGCCCGCAAGTCAACCCGGGCTCGTATGTCTTCGGTGACATCCAGAACCACACTACCTGGCCCACCGGCTGGGCATTTATCATGGCATGGCTATCGCCCATCTGGACTATTGGCGCCTTCGATTCCTGCGTGCATATGAGCGAGGAGGCGACACATGCTGCCCGCGCTGTCCCGCTGGGGATTATCTCTTCCGCTGGATTATGTGGTCTTCTTGGATTTGTTTCGCTGGCGGTTATTGCGTCTTCGATGGATAGGAATATTGAGGGGATTTTGAACTCGAAGTTCGGTCAGCCTATGACTCAGGTTTGTTTGCCTTGCGTTTTCTGTTGTCTTGTCTTCTTGTGCTGGACGTACTCTCTAATCTGCTACTACACAGATCTACTACGACGCCCTCGGTAAAAGCGGAGCGCTGGGCTTCATGGTCGTGGTAATGATCGTCCAATTCTTCATGGGACTGAGCATCGTAAGCCCCCATCTCACCACCTACTACCTACCAACCCATCCCCAACCCTAAAACCGTCCATTAACCCTACCCAGGTCCTAGCCGCCTCCCGCCAAAGCTGGGCCTTCTCCCGCGACGGCGCCCTCCCCCTGTCCTCCTTCTTCCGCAAAGTAAGCCAGCACGCATTCATGCGCTACCAGCCCGTCCGCATGGTGTGCGGTATAGTCGTCGCATCGGCGCTTATCGGCCTCCTCTGTCTAATCGACGAAGCCGCCGCCAGCGCGCTCTTTTCCCTCGCTGTAGCCGGCAACGACCTCGCCTGGCTGACGCCCATCCTGGCGCGTCTGCTCTGGGGCGGTGATCGCTTTATCCCTGGTGAGTTCTATACGGGTAAGTATCTCAGTAAGCCGATTGGGTGGGTTGCTGTCATCTATATGATGTTCGTTATTGTTCTTACTATGATTCCTACCGAGGGGCCGAATCCGTCGCGTGAGTTTACACTTCACTATACTATTCTCTGTGCTTTTGCTGACTGGGTGTTGTTTGAAGCTCAAACGATGAATTATACGGTTGTTATTAATGGGAGCCTTTGGCTTGGGGCGTTGGTTTATTATTATGTTCATGCTAGGAAGACGTATAAGGGGCCTCAGACTACTGTTAGTCCTGAAGATGAGGGGAAGAATTTGGAGCAGGATTCTAAGTAGTTGGTATGATATAGGTAGATATTGTGGCTTTTGGTGGGACTTTTGGTCCAACATGGTTTGTTTTGATGCCCTCTGTTGTTCATGTCGATAGATTAAGTCTATATGTATCCAAGACTATAAGAATTGAAGGGGTCTTACTCCCATTAGCTACGGAGACACTGTAGATTTCAGAATTTGGCTTTCAATTATCGCTAGTCACCCTTACACCAGGGCTAAAAATCGTCGCTATGGACATCGCTTCGTCTTCTTCGTTTCGTCTTCGTTTCATCTTCGTTTCATCTTCGTTTCATCTTCGTTTCATCTTCGTTTCATCTTTGTTAGGAGCAATTTCTCTTCAGATCTCTCTGCTCCGACTAATGCACAGATAATGACGCATCTATTCAGGGATCTCTAGGACATAGCGGCCAGCGATCTTGCCTTCCTCTGTATTGCATATATTAGCATATGGTCGATAACAAGTAATCAACATCTGAAACGTACCCATGAGCTTGAACACCTCAGGCAGCTCCTTCAGAGGAACAGTCTTGAAAGGAGCCTTGATCAAGCCACGCGCGTAGAAGTCAATGGCCTCAACGCCATCCTGGCGGTTACCGACATAGCTGCCCTTAATGCTGATCATCTTGACAACGGTTTCGAAAACAGGGGCCTTGAGGAACGCATGGGCGGGAAGGCCAATGGCAACAATAGTACCACGGGAGCGAGCATATTCGACAGCCTGCTGGAACGGCTTCTCAGAGACAGCAAGCAAGAGCACGGCGTGGGCACCAAGGCCATCGGGAGTAGCAGCCTTGACATCTGCAACGAGATCGCTAGACTTGGTGAAGTCGACGTAGGCCTGAACACTATATTAGCATGAACCCCGAAAGTAAAAAAGAAATAGAAAAGCCTACCTCTGCACCAAGATTTTCACACATAGCCTTCTTCTCCTCACCACCATCAATAGCAATAACACGCAACCCCATAGCCTTAGCATACTGCTGCGCAAGCGAACCAAGACCGCCACCAGCACCAACAATCGCAACCGTCTGACCTGGACGCGCACCAGACTCCTTAAGACCCTTGTAGACCGTAATACCAGCACACAGAATAGGCGCAATAGCATCAAGCGGCACGTCCTTAGGCAACTTAGCCACATGCGCCGCCTTACCAATCGCGTACTGCTGGAACGTGCCGTCAACCGTGTATCCGGACAGCCGTGCATCGGGACACAACGGCTCGTCAGCGGTCTTGCAGAACTCGCATGCGAGACAGGATCCGTTGAGCCATTTGATGCCTGCGTGGTCGCCGATCTCAATACCCTGCGCGAGTGAGCCCTTCGCGACGACAATGCCGGCGCCTTCGTGGCCGCCAACTAGGTTCTGCTTTACGGTCAGAGGCCAGTCGCCGTTCATGGCGTGCAGGTCTGTGTGGCAGACGCCGGTGTATTTCATCTTCACGAGGACTTCGTCGGGACCGGGCTTTGGGACGGGGATTTGTTTGTACACGGGTGGTCCGCCTTTCTTTTTCGACGACTTGCGCCCATTGGGTCTCTGGGATTGGGGACATTTTGGTTCAGGTGGAGTATGTGAGGGTAAGAGGTAAGTGTGAGAAATAGTGAGAGATCAAAAGTACATATGTATTAAATGGGGATGAAGAAACAATGTAACGCAGGAAATGTTGAGAAGCAGCTGCCTTTTTATAGTAGGAAGCGCATTGCCTGATCAGGGTATCAGTCCGGTTCCTTTACCTAGTGTAGAATATCTGTGTCATCGTCACTTGATATCCTTGGAATATCTTGGAATATCTACTGGACATTGCGTATCCACTTCTGCTCCCCGTTTGCGGTATACATATGCAATGCAGACCGTATTGCCCAAACATCTAGACCTTTGCTAACTGTGATAGATATACTGATAATATATCTCCATTATATTATTCCTGTCAGGGTCCGCATAATGTAAGGATTTAACAGGGGCCCCCATGTTGATGCATGCATGAAACATGAACCACTCTAATGCATCCCGCTCATTTAGACAAAAGAAGAACCACAACTGGACTCAGACATGAACGATCAGTAAAATCATGCAGCTCAGAAAAAAAAAAAGAAACCAGAAATACTCCAAGAGGCAATTGTGCCATTTTGCCATTCCGAGGTCCATGTGAGATCAGAATGGACGACGTCATCAACATCGAGCATCAGCCCATGTGGGGTGGCAGCTTGGTGTTTACGGTCAACGCTAGAATCTATTTTTAATCTATTAATTAATCAGTTAATACAAAATTGGAAGTATCTTGAAATTAACAGATATAGCATATATCCTAGTTTCCTCTCCGGAGAAACCTAGATCGGAGGTCGTGGATCTGAGGCTCCAACATGTGTGCTTCACCAACATACTACCGTTGGTGGACTCAACAATCAATTACACTCAATAATTTTATAATTTTATCCAATACAAATCAATTTAAACCACTATTTACATATAACCATAACTATCCATATACCAATTTTGTTGGGGGAGAACAAGGAGCAGAGTGGAAAGGCTGTATTGATAGACTAACAGAAGACTGGGGGAGGAAAAAAGGAGAGAGAGAGAGAGAAAGGAGGTAAACACACAAGCATGACTATGACCGAGGCTTCAACTGGCTTAAAGGGTGAGACGTAATCTAGCTAGACGCTTAGCTTCGAGGAATGACGACTATATACAGCGCTATACTCCACTATTTACATCGCAACGCCAACTACCAACAAGTTCAGAGATAACGACCACTGCCCCAGGTACCTAAAAGCTCCCCCCAGTAATCTGTACAGCATAGTCCAACCCAGACGTGGCCGTGGCCTCACTAGACAGCTTAAACGGATCATACTGGATCAACTCCGCTGGCGTATTCACAACAACAAGGCTGGCCTCCTCACTCCCACCAACAGCCACCTCACCACTGCCATTCTCCAGATCAACGTATCTCACCGCCCCACTATCCTTGTTCCTCACAGCCAGCGTCGCCGTAAACGCCGAGTTCGACTGCACAGTAACACTCACACTCCCCTCGCCAGAGACTTGAATTGGGTTAATATTCGCCCCAAAGTACTGCGGCTGTCGGGAAGCCTTCACAGTATAGCTCTGCCCACTGCCGTCCAGATTCTCATAGCCCAGAGTCTGCCTCTGTTCCAAGAACGCCCGGTTCGCAGCCTCACTCCCAATGTCCACATACGCCATGTGCGCCCAGTATCTCCCGACAACCTGCTGAACCGTCGCCCGATTCCCGAGCAGCCTCTGCAACGTGTGCAACGGAGTCTCGTTACTCCCAACCTCATACTCCAGATTCAACCTGAGCACCGCATCCTGGCCCAACCCGGTAAAGTTATCCGGGTTATTCGTCAAGTATGTCAAGATAGGCCAACTCTGGTAATAATTCCCAGAATCCACACTTCCATCCACGATAACCTGGTGGCTGTCCCCAACCACCTTCTTGAGATCGATCATACTACCCCTGGCCTGTTGGGAATACTTCTCTCGCGCACTCGCGCAAAGATCAGACGTCATCCACGTATCCGCGAACCAATTCGCCAGCGGCTCCCACCAAGCCCCCGTAGCAGTCTGGTCGACCCAGTTCTGCGCGTGATACGTAAGGGCGTGTCCGTATTCATGGACCGTAACCGATGGATCGGTAAGGTAGGTGTTCACGACCTGCACGGAGCTGAGCCCTGTCGTCGGGTCTGAGTTCATTATGCCTGCGGCGCTGCCGAGCGAGTCGACGGAATAGATGTTCTCCTTGTACCAGGTATCCGCAGTGTCGGAGTCAGAGTTGTACGAGAGACCGGAGGAGCGCCATCCGAGGTCGGTGACGAAGCAGGAATATGCGGACTCGAGCATCTGGAGGGTTTTGTCTGCTTCGTCGCCGGTTGCGCTGTACAGTCTAAAGCGGGGCGAGTCGGTGAACGTGTTGCCACCGGCGCCGACATTGGGGTTTGCTGTGAATTCGGAGGGTTCCGTGCTTGCACCACTGGGGGGTGGAGGCTTGGGGGTTTGGGGTTGCGAGGGCGCTGGCGGCGAAGAGGGCCGCTGCCGCGTATTTGGATGGGGACATGGTGGTAATTGTTGTTCACTAGCTACTGGTAGATAGTCTACTGGGCTTCATCGTGTATATATAATGAGGGCTAAATTAGCCAAGACGGACATATTATTGCGCAGGGTTGTTTCAGTGTCGAGCCACGCCAAGAGATTGGGAGAGATCGGCAACGCTAAGAGTTTTTGATAGACTACATACAGCTGGGCCCGGTGAAACAGACTCACAGTGAAACGCACTAGGGCTGCCTGTGCTCAAGCTCTGGCAGGACCCCTATTCGGAACAGGCTGTTCAGTATTTCCGGATCTGCAATATTGGTCTATCAAAAGGGGTAATTATAGATCAAAGGGGTAATTATAGTCATGCCGAACTGTTCGCAGGAATTGCATTTGCCTTTTTAAGTTTGATATTCCGCCGTGATGTCCAATGTTTCTACTCCGTACAGCATGCCCTTTTAAGAATGATTCTACATTATTTCTTTCTGCTGCTTTAATAAGCTCTCTGTAGAACTTAGATCTGCTAAGCAACGAGCTAAGCACTTCTTTAACATGTCATCTAAGTCCTTGTTTAGATATTGTCAACATACATGAGATGTCAGTTTGTGCAGACTGAGCCTTTTCGATAGTTTGCCATTCACTCTGTTCATGTAGCCTTTAAATAGAGCCTACTTTCCATAAGCTTGCAATCGGTTGCTTCTTCCTGATTTTCCCCATACTAGTATCTGCTAGTGCATCTCTAGTATCGTAGCCCTTAATAGGTTATGAGGCCCTCGTTTTCCCCCTTCACTTTATCAAATCCATCAAGATCTATTAAGATTCTCCCACTTCTTTATCACTTTTTTTTTTTCTGAAAGAGAGTATTAAGTACTACATCTTTATTATAAGAAGCTTTTTTATGGTTCTTACGTTAAGAACTACCATTGTTTATTTATTTATTTAATCTTAATCTTGTGGAGGTGTTAATAGGGCCCTTCACCACCGTGATCGATGGTCGCTGGTTCCCTTGATGCTGGTTGCCACCGTGTGGGAGGGTGTTGAGTACCACAGTGGCTGTGTTGAACATCATGTTTGGCTGAACCTTGCGGCAGGTATTATGAATGGATATATATGAGGCATCGCGCGACAGCGCCTCCGCTGTTAAAAGCCGTTGCATTACCAAGATTCGATCCAATCTAGATCACGGAAAGGCTACGTACTGTATTACCTCCCATGGTGAAACCAGCCATCACCCAATGCCAATGACGGGAGCTGGGTAATCCTTATGGCCAACAATCCGGTTTCGGAGTTGGGATCAATGGGGCCATATGTAGAGAAATATCATGAGCGCTGACGTAGCCCGTCCATCCTAGTTGAGAATCAATAATCAAGGCAGTCTCTTTTGATTACATAGTCTGCCGTGATCGAGCTTGTGACTACGAAAATATGTGAAGCCAGTAAGTATAATCACAGGTGAACATCCCGCCCACTTCAGCACATCAGCGCCATGAAAGAACAACTACCCCACTTCAGGGAAACCTGTGAAGACTTCCATTGTTTGGAGATGCGAAGCAGACCAGGTAGGACCGGCCTTGAGCTTCCGATGGCGAACAATCCAGTCCCGGAAGTGGGACAGATAAGGTCTTAACGACGTCGAATATAGTTATGCCGCCCTCGAGCTACCAGCTATCAGGATGCTTAAATCCAATGAAAACCACGCGACCAGTTTCGAGGGCCAATGCCAGACGACTCCCATATCGGGCCAACGCAACTGCTCTGTACTCCGGTGGTAGCCAAAGAAAATTGCTACCATTGCGAGTAACCCACGAGCCATCCGGGCTAAAGTCGAAGCGTGGGAGCTCCTTTGGAGGTGCGGTATTTGAGTCGTTTACGCGAAACACCTCTTGGTCGGTCTTGAGGAAGTTATCCTCACTGCAGAATGATAATTCGGTGACTCTTGCACCAGGGGTAAATGTCCTTAGAGCCGAACCAGTGGCCCAATCCCAGACGATAACTTCTGATTCTGTCGAGGATGCTAGAAGCTTGCTATCAGATGACAATGCAACTTTGGTTACCATCCCCGCTTGGTGTGTGAGGGTTTGATGTGGTGTCTCTGTATCGAGATCCCACCGCTGGATATCGCCACTCAGCAGACCACACACGAAACACTTGTTGTCAGGGGAAAATGCCATGTCGCCGACTTCGTGAAGAACGGGAAACGCGTGCAGTGGTTCCAGCGTCTCGATCGACCAGAGCTGAACGTGCCCTATCGCTGATATCTCTTGCGCGAGTACTTTGCTGTCCGGGGAAAAGGCGAAGCGCAGGCTCCCTACACCATTGCTGAGGATGGGACGGATACCACTGAGGCCTCGGCTGATGTCCCATTTGTAGCGGGCTGGCCCGGCAGCGAACACTAGCCATCTGCTATCCGGCGAAAATATGACTTTCGATACGTGGTTGGTGACCCACCCGTCATGGTCTTTATAAGTGTAAACGTTTCTTCCGGTTGCTGCGTCCCACAAATCCAATCTTTCGTGTCCCGCCGAAACCAGGAGTCTGCCGTTTGGGGAGAATTCCATCAGCGCGCCTGGTTGGTATAGAGGTACCGAAGAATCCATCACGCTTTCATGGCACAGCTCTCTCATCTCGATGCTGATTTGGCCCAGACGTGCCACTGCTATGAGCATATCATCTGGTGACAAAGCAACCGCCTTGGCTTCTCTCAAGACTCCCCGTACCACATGTGTTCTTTTGCCGGAAAAAGCATCACTCAGCTCTACTATCTCCTCAACCGGAACGGCTAGGAGCTGGCCGCTGGAGGACAGAACAGGGCGGATGATTTCATAGCGATCCACATCCCGACTGGGAGTAGTCAGTGTCTCAACGGTACCCCCGTCCCGCATATCCCATGTCTTTACTACCCCATCCGTCAATCCCATCAATAAGTGCCCGTGGGCAGCAAAGCCCACCATCCAGACTGGGTTTGAGAATCCTTCAAACGTGCGGAGCAATTGCTCCGATTCTGGGTTCCATAGCCTCGCCGTTTTGTCGTTCGAACCCGATGCTAGCAATCCATCTGCCGAGAAACTTACCGCCATGACTGCCTCAGTATGGCCCTCGAGTCTCCGCTTCAAGTTTCCGCTGGTGAGATCCCAAAGCGTAATGACGCCATTACCGCCGCCAACTGCCAAAACCTTGCCATCTCTAGAATATGCTACCGCTCGTGGGTAGTCGATGTCAGTAGTATGGAACTCAAGTTCATGTAGCTTTGTGCCAGTCCTCGACTCGTGAACCTGGACGACCCCACCATGGAGGTTTCCACCGTATGTCGCCGATGCTAGGAGTTCGCAGTCAGGAGAAAACGCGACAGCCTCGATCTCATCATCATGATCTCTAGCCATTGTATGCAGGAGTTGCCCCGTTTCACTGTCCCATACTTTCACGGCACCGGAAGTATCCCCGGATGCAAGCAATTCCCCATCAGATGAGAACGCAAGCGATTTAGCAGAGCACAATTGCGTACCATCCGGCTCCTCGAGTGTCAGGCGCACATTGCTCCACTGAGTTTGCACTACGGGAAGTTGTGGCATGGAGATTGAGACCTGATGCAAGTATACCCTTCGAGTTATGCTCGACTCCGGCAGCCAAATGATGGCGGAGTAGAGTTGCAACGGTGCGATATCCACAATCGAGACATTTCTCTGAACAAAACGCAACAGATCCGTAAGAAACGGTGAGACGTATAAGCTGCTTGGGTCCTGTACTTTTTGGTTAGCGGAATGAAAACCAGTGCATCACAGAGAGTTGGCCTCGTACGACCAACGATAGCAAAGTTTTTATCATAGCAATGCTTTCGAATATGCATCCAATCAGCGCGAGGCCTTCCAACCAGTGCAACAAGTGGCATTTCAGAAAAGCAGTGACCTGGTCTTCGTCCGTGAGAGTGCATTCACCATGCCCAAGGTGGTATACCCAATATCGGCAAGCATACTGAACATGGGGCGGGAGAGCAACTGCCACGTCTTGTCTTTTAATATCAATTCTCGCAGACCCGGGACTCTCAAGATGACAAATATTCTGGACAAGGGTACCTGGTCCGGAAAGTAGCTCGATACACTTTGCAGCTATGACATTGTGTTTATCGACTTTCTCGTGATCTCGAGTCCGATTCATGAGGCCAGCGGCATCAGACGGAGCGGAGAGAGCTTGCTGGAGGCCCGGAAAGTACTCTTCCTGCTTTTCTTGTGTCAGGGCCGATGGGGGCGATAGCAGCGATAGCGGAGGCTTTGGATACGGGACCTGAGGGCCTTCGCTGGCCGCAGTCTGAGGGGTTGACTTGTCAAACAAGGCCAAATCATTGGAAGCTGTCTGTGGTCGAGGAGGAAGGTCCTCTGGGCGTATAGGTTCGTAGCTCGAAGGTGGGTTGCGCCTTTCATAGCTGGGACCTTGCGATTGTCGGCTACTTATGGACCCCAGGTTGCTACTCATGGATATTGCACTGCTTCTCTCCGAGTATGCACCTTGGACTTCCTTGCCGCCGCTCCCTTTCGAACTCCAATCGGAATCCAGCTCTACTTCTTCTTCGTCGGAAAGAAGGCGGCGGTGCCTCGAGCGTCGATTTCGTTTCGGACGAGAGTGATCAGCACGGAGGCCGCGCAAAAGACCAGTAATTTCCTGGCATGCACTGGCTACATCCCGCATGTGCCCACCTAGAGTGTCTTGGTCTTCAAGGGAATTCTGCCCAGGAATATAGACGATTCGGTCTAGACCGGCGTAGAAGCTAGAAAAGTCCCAGGCGGAAAAGACGGTAGACCACATTTGCCACTTGATATCGCCATAGAGAGCTGCTAACATTACTTTCCATAACGGTAAGCTGGTATCAGTCGGGCCTTCTTCGCCAATAGGCACTTTGAAGACCACCGCAAAGTCAAACTCGAACTGCGTCTCAGGGTAAATTGAGAGTGCTGGGACGCGGACACTCTTCCCGGGCACGTCAATTACAAACGTTGCTTGCGGGTCAACGTGGCTGGGTTTACACAGAAGCCTGGTGATAAAATCCCGCCCAGTGAAAGACAGAATTGCCATTGTTTGCATGGCCCACGTAGAGATTTGGTATGCCTCGACCAGGCGTTTCACCAAGCCCTCTAGTGCAGTCAGCGCTGAAGCCCGACGACGACTTCGAATCGACGATAGTGCATATTGTGAAACCTCGGAGATTGCGTTCTTTAAGAGTTTCTTCTCCTCTTTTTTAATTTGTAGGATATCAGTGCCCTCATCAGCAAGGTGTTGTAGGTAGTTGTTGTTCCTTTGGGGTAACAGTCTCTCGAAGAACTCTAGGAGGTGATCGTCGCATAGGAAAGAATACGTATTCATGTTTAGCTGTAACAAAGATAGAACCATTGTTTTCGAATCCGATGGGTCCATCCACACCTTGGTATTAGACGCGGTACGGTTGATCCGTTGGTACTGGACGCCATCCAACACCCCATACTTCTCGCTTGAGGAGCCGGGATTGGTCGGGCTCTTGTCAACGCGATGTGTCTTGTGTAGGCTGACCTGGCGAATCCTGGGCAGCCTAATTCCCACCTCGCCGGCCAATCTTCTATGTCGAAGTGGGATTTCGTTCGGTTCAAGGATCCTTAGCTTGTAGAAAAAATTCTTCCGCATGTCCGTGCTTTGTGGCACAAACCGTGTAATTCTAGAGCTAGACATCTCCTTCGACTCCAGCTCACTGCAGAGAAGACTTCCGTCAGCAGCAGGGATATAGCCAAGGAATAGGAAAAAGAGGGTTCGCAGCGACATGTCGTGGGCGGGCATAACGCTGGGCATTTTAGCCATATGGGTGATATTGTGCATGCGAAAATTGACCCTACTGCGGATTGGACGGTTGGACTGTAGAATGCCGCTCAATCCATATAACGCATCTCCTCCTAGGTCACTCCACTCTGGCTCCGACGCCTCGCCCTCAAATAAACCGCAGTCCTCACGACGGCCATATCGATCCACAAGGCCCAGCAAAAGGATCCAGCTCCTGTGGACGGGAAGCAGTGATTCTTTGCCTGAAACCTTAATCTTACCAGTGAATGGCGGGCAGATGCTGTACGCACGCAGAAGATTGGCGAAATTGACCCACGCAGTTAATGACGGACTTCCTTCACGGTCGAGCAGATCGCATTTTCGCTGGATGCGCAGCTGCGATGGCGGTGGATTTTCGGCCGTAATCCTTGGTGGCATGGTGAGATTGGGTACCTTGACGGTGCGGAAGAATTTCTTTCCAGGCAACAGCGTATATCCTTTGGAGACGTATTCATGGAGTTGATCGTCGATGAGGCTCAGAGCTTCGTAGTGGCCGGTTTGGGACTCGCGGTAGAGGATATAGGCGGGGATGATGCCCGCAAGTGCGACCAGCGCCAATATGGCGGCCAACCATGTACCGGCGAGTCCGAGCAGGTCTATTGTGTCACCCATTCTCCCAGATTCGGGCGATTACTCTGATGAGGGTGTTCAGGGTGATCAATAAAAGAGAGCTTCACCTTGTTGATGGAGGAAGACAAGCGATCCAAAATGTGGGACACGTGGTCGCGCTAAACTATTTTACGGATTGAATTAGTTGCCCAGGTGTGGTGTGGAGAGCCGTTTGGGGGAAACTTACGCCCTTTGTACATAAGGTATCACCACCTATCTCAACACTTTCTCTTAAGGAGGATTTAAAGACAGCTTTGCGTATCGTAATAGTAGAGTATATATTTAGAAAACCTTGATCTTTTTTTAACCGTAAGTAAAAATACCACCGCGTATAACGTGGTGTAATCTGCTTGTCGGAACGTCTGATTGTAGCTGTAGTGGTATATATACCAGCCCTAGCAACCGCTCGGGACCACAAAGCTAGATTCGATGAAAGATATAGACGACGTCATTAGAAAACTGATCATTCTGTGAGCGTAAAAGTCTCAGCCGTATTAGGCGATGGCGAAGAACCTCCCGAGGTATTGCAGCTCCAAGGTCTTTTGGCTCCTGAGAATTCGCGATTCCGATCCATATCAGAAAAAGCGTGTCCAGCATCGAGGGTGGACTGGCGCACAGTTTACACCGATGAACTGGGACGCTGATACCCAAAGTAAGTCGCGGCTGCTGTCGAATCCTGTCAGGCGACCCATGCGCTGGGTCTCAGATTGCTCAAACACTAGTATAAGCTCCCTCAAAAACAGGGGATTCCTCCAAGAAAGGTTTTTCTCTTGGTCGAAATACTTGTTGAGCTTGACCCGACATGACCTGAGGCAGTTGCACCCCCATCGTCTTCTCACAATCGGAAGCGAAGTTATACAAGGAAGGGTCGTTGCAAATGGCAGGCCGACCCAACTGGCCTTCAATGTGACTTTGAATCACACACCAAGAGCCCCCGGATGAAGGCTCATGACAAGTGTGGAGCCAATAGGGACTATCACGCAACAGGCGTTCATTGCTTGGATGACGTACACGATCCAATAGCTCTTGACTGTAGGCTGGGAGACTCAGCACAGGCCTGCCCTTTAGTCTTCGCTGTTGGTTCGCATAGGGCTATTCCGATCGTTCAATCTTTTCATTGCAGGAGTAGCAGGCTGGGCAAGATTAAAGTACCTGTTGACCACGGACTCCGAGTGCCACAACTTCAGAGAATATTTGTTCTCGTTGGCTGTCAGTGGATAGCCAGCCTTCTAGCCATTGCACCTCGAATGGCGTTAAATTATGCATATAGAATTTTACCAAAGGGAACAAATCGGTCTGCCAAGCTCGGAAAGACATGTTGAGACAGAAAAAGCAAGAAGGCGGATAAGCTGTATAGAGAAGACGTAGCGAAGGAGCACACTGGATGAGGAAGGGAAAGGCCGAGAGGGGGCGAAGTTACTAGTAGACGTCCATGTTATCCTCATAGACCAAGGCCTGTATGAGTAGGTTGATCACCGAGTAGTCCTGATGACTAGATCCATTTCAGAGACATCTGGGCGTGGTCAGAGGTGGTTTCGAGTGAGTTCCGGTGTCAGGTTCCTTGGCGTTCTGGTGGAATACGGGCATCAAATAGTCACATTCGAGCGATAACAACCTTGGAAGGGGAAAGGCAACTGAGAAAAAAAAATAAAAATAAAATAAAAAGGAAGACAAGACGAAACCAAGCAAACCCAGTGTAGGTGTTCATTTCTGTATTCTGTACAATCCAAGTGAATGTAATTATGCAATTTCCCATGTACACCTGGGGCAAGGCGCACATGTGGATAAGGTGATCTCACGATAAACTCCCGAGAATCGGACAGATTTCGAGTGGAATGGAAGAAGCGAGGATTAAAATATCTTCATTTTTAGAAGGAACTCGGACGACTTGAAGACATTTGGAAACATTTGAAAAAATATGAAATTATCGCATGTTGATGATGTTCGTTCTCACCACCTCTGTGCTCCAACAGAGTGTTCGTATGGACTCCCAGTGAGATCGGGGCACAACCTTGGAATTATTGCCCAGCCAGAAGGGGAAAATGATATAGAAGAACAAAAAACAATTGAAATAGTCATCTAGAAAAGAAAATCCATATATTTTACACAATAAACAGCCAGTTCGGATCTAACCCCCGGGATGCCGGAGTAGGTTGAAATACCCCAGACGAAGAGATTCACGAGAAATGCCAAATCTCAACTTTTCCCGCTTTTACCTTTTTCACAACTCGTCTCTTCCCCTTCCCCGACCTGCAACTTTCTCTTCCTCAGCAATCGCCCCCCCGAATCCCCCATTGCCCACCCCATCCCTTCTCATCCTCATCGCCCCTGCATCAGCTCGCCTAGGCCGCATTCTCTTTCTTGGGCTCCACGGAAACTTCCCTTCTTCCTGCATCTTCCCACCACAAACGAATCCATCCCTCCATCAGGTATTTATGTCTTGCTTTCTTCCTCCATCTCTCTCTTTCATCCCTCTTCACTCCGAAACAGATACCTGAAAACCAACAACTGACAGCCGCGTCACTAGACACTCCGGAACCCCCTTGACAGGTGTCTCTGAGCAGGGGTCTTGGACTCTTCTTCCTCAATTCCCTCCCAGACCCTAGCTCCACCTGAGTGACCAACTTTCGACGCGCTCGACCCGTAACCGGGGACCGCGGCCATCATGACGGGCCCTCCGCCGTACAACGCCCAGTCCCCGACTCAGCAGCAGCGGTATCCGGCCTACACATCTCCGAATAAGAACCATCCGTATTACCCAAGCAATGAACAACCCCAGCCACCGCAGTACCACCAGCATCCTCCGCAGACCCCACCCGCATTTGGCCCATCCTCCGTCGCGCGAAGCCCGCACTTTTCGCACGCGTCTCCAATGCCGTCTACATTGCCGCCGCCCTTGAATGGGAGCGCGCCGCCTCACCCGTCTCACCCGGAGGCTTCGCAATACCAGGGACATTCGGCATCTGGTTCTCAGCTGCCACTTCCGCGCCCTTACTCCAGCTCCGTGATCACGGGCAACGGTGCCTCGCCGTACGGATCTGCGACACCCCATGGCCATCCACCGAGTCGCCCCGAAGGTCATTCGCAATCTCCTAGTAGGGAGTCGGAATCTCCATATCGCATGCGAGGTAATGGTGCTGGATATGGACCTCCCATGATGCGCGAGCCAAGACCGGTCTCGCCGCAGGAAGCTGTAGGCATTACCCGGATCCTACAATGTCTTACGATGCACTAACCCATCCTTGCCTCGCAGAAGCCCGCTAGAGCTGCAGACCCCATGTCATTCGCCAGTATTCTTTCAGGCCCCTCCGATGAGCAGCCTGTGAGAAAGCCATCGCCTCTCCCGGCCCCCATCTCCACCCACACGCCCACGCCGCATGCTCCCCCCGTCTTTCCACACCGGCACCTCGACCACAGCTCCACGCCCGTAGCTATGCATCACAAACCCGAGCATCGATTTGACTTTGATAAGCACGTCGATGGCCCAAGAGCACCGCAGGCCACCAATGGGTTCGTCAAGCCCGCTGCGGAATATCCTGCACCGGTTTCTCGTGCCCCTCTTCGGAAACCCTTCCCGCCCGGTGTGGACCTTGAACAGGTCAACCGGGCTGCAGCCGAGATCGACCGCGCGGAGAAGAGCGACATTGAAGATCCTGCCTTTGACGCCGAACAGGAACGGTATCGGGAGAAAAGCTACAAACGGTCGGTGGAAAGCAGCCGTGCAGAGGAAGTACGGAGAAAGGTAGGTTGCCTGAAATCCGTTTGATGTCCAGCCAATCCCTCATACTAACATATGCTCAGCGTCGCCGCAACGAGTTCCTCATCGATCTAGGTAGATCTTTCGAAAAACAAGCCATCCTTGGCACCGAGAGGTTCCGAGTGCTCAATGAGGGTGCCGTCATGGCCGAAGTTCAACAAAAGGAGATCCAGGATGAAAAGGAACGGAAGAAAGACATGCAGCGCAAGCGCCGTCGTGAGAACACTGTGCGCCAAGAAATGCAAAAGAAGCTGGAGGCTGAGCGCAAGGCCAGCAAGGCCCAGGAACCTGGAGAAAGGGCCAAGTTCCTGCGCGAAGCCGAACGGGCCCAGAAGAAAATCCGCACCACCAAGCGCGCTTTGGAGGGTGGTGATGGGCAGGATGAGCTCGGTGAGGTCACCCCGCTTGCTCCCAACCTTGAAGGCGGGACAACGAGTCAATTCCACGTCGGCCGTTCCTCGCCCAGCCGACGCAGGTCCGGCCGCGCCGGCCCTGTCACCCGTCCTAAGAAGTCAAAGGAGCAGAAGCAGGCCGAGAAGGATCTTGCCGAGGCAGCTTGGAATGCTGGGTTGGACGACGACCTGTATCTCACCCCAAGTACGAGAAAGGATGCCCGACGTTCAAAGGAGGGTACTCCCATGTCGCAGCTGCACTACGACAGCAAGGGCTACAACCAGATCTACGAGCAGATCTGGCGCGATATCGCGCGCAAGGATATTCCCAAGGTCTACCGCATCAAAACTACCTCCTCTCCACTCGCCAGGAGAACTTGCGTAAGACGGCTCAGCTGGCCAGCAAGCAGTCTCGCAAGTGGCAGGAGCGCACGAACAAGAGCACCAAGGATACTCAAGCTCGCGCCAAGCGGACAATGCGTGAAATGATGTCGTTCTGGAAGCGCAATGAGCGTGAGGAACGCGACTTGCGCCGTGTGGCTGAGAAGCAGGAGCTTGAATCAGCCAAGAAGGCAGAGGCGGACCGCGAAGCCAACCGACAGAAGCGCAAGCTCAACTTCCTTATCTCGCAAACAGAGCTCTACTCCCACTTCATCGGGCGCAAGATCAAGACCGATGAGGCCCAGGGAGACGGCGCTGTTGCCGCCACCGGAGAGACCGTTCAACCAGGCAAGCCAAACGCCCACACAGTCAATCTTCCAGACAGTGTGGCCAACCCCAACGCCAAGACCACTGCATTCGAGGACCTTGACTTTGATGCTGAAGATGAAACCGCGCTGCAGCAAGCTGCTATGGCTAATGCGCAAAACGCTGTGCAGGAAGCCCAGGACCGCGCCCGTGCCTTCAACCAAGGAGAGGGTGATAATATGGCTGCGTTCGACGACGGAGAGATGAACTTCCAGAATCCGACTAGTCTGGGTGACATTGAGATTTCCCAGCCCACCATGTTGAATGCTCAGCTGAAAGAGTACCAGCTTAAGGGTCTTAACTGGCTTGTCAACTTGTACGAGCAGGGCATCAACGGTATCCTGGCAGATGAGATGGGTCTCGGTAAAACCATCCAGTCCATTTCTGTTATGGCTTACTTGGCTGAGGTCCACAACATCTGGGGTCCTTTCCTGGTCATCGCGCCAGCATCCACACTGCACAACTGGCAGCAGGAGATTACCAAGTTCGTCCCGAACATCAAGGTGCTTCCCTATTGGGGTAATGCCAAGGACCGCAAGATCCTGCGAAAGTTCTGGGACCGCAAAGCACATCACCTATAACCGTGACTCGGAATTCCACGTTCTAGTCACCTCGTACCAACTTGTCGTTCTTGACGCACAGTACTTCCAGAAGGTGAAATGGCAGTACATGATTCTTGACGAAGCTCAAGCTATCAAGTCTTCTTCAAGTTCGCGATGGAAGAACCTGCTGGGATTCAGCTGTCGCAATCGTCTTCTGTTGACGGGTACGCCGATTCAAAATAACATGCAAGAGCTGTGGGCCCTACTTCACTTTATCATGCCAACTCTGTTCGACTCCCACGATGAGTTCAGCGAGTGGTTCTCCAAGGATATCGAGTCGCACGCCCAAAGTAACACGAAGCTCAACGAGGATCAGCTCAAGCGTCTTCACATGATCTTGAAACCTTTCATGTTGCGTCGTGTCAAGAAGAACGTCCAGCAAGAACTCGGAGACAAGGTTGAGAAGGACATCTTCTGCGACTTGACATACCGGCAACGTGCCTTGTACTCCAACCTTCGTAACCGTGTCAGCATCATCGACCTCATCGAAAAGGCTGCCACAGGCGACGACACTGACAGCAGCACACTGATGAACTTGGTTATGCAATTCCGCAAAGTCTGTAACCACCCCGATCTCTTCGAACGCGCCGAAACCAAATCTCCCTTCTCCACTGCGTACTTTGCGGAAACCGCTTCCTTCGTTCGTGAAGGGAACTTTGTCGATGTCCGCTATTCGACCCGCAACTTGATCGAATACGAGTTGCCACGCCTCCTGTGCAGCTCTACAGGACGACTTGACCTTCCCGGTTCCGATAATCCTCGCGTGGGCTTCCAAAACAAGTACCTATCCCAGCTGATGAATGTCTGGACCCCAGAAAACATCCACAAGAGCGCACGTGAAAATGGCGCGTTCTCTTTCTTGCGTTTCGTCGACACTTCCGCAGGAGAAGCAAGCGAGATGGCACGACTTGGTGTCTACGAGCGCGCAGAACATCGTCGCAGCAAGCCAAACAGGCTTTCTGCCTTGAATGTCCTCTATGATGAGAGTGATGATTCAAAGAACTCTGTCCTGTCTCATTCGATGTTGAATATTGTCGATCGTAATGATCGCCAGGCTGTTCGAGAAATCGCTGTTGAGGGCCGAATGAAAGCCCTTATGAACGTTTCAAGATCCTCATTTGAAGATCAAGGCCTTCACGTAATCGAGCCTTGTGCTGCTCCGAAGGCTTCTGCGCCCCCCATCACCATGTCCTCTTCTGGCCAACAGGTACACCGGGAATCCCACCACGCTTTGTTCAATCCATCTGTTCGGCAAGCTCTGTCTGGATACTCTAGCAGGCAGGTTGAGGAGCAGATCCTCATCAAGAAGCTCGATCCTGCGCCTTATTCTCATGCTCCTATGCTGCCGCCACCAATGTCACTCAAGGGCCGCTACAACCACATCGAGGTACCGTCTATGCGTCGTTTCGTGACAGATTCAGGCAAACTGGCCAAATTGGACCAGCTGCTGCGGGAGCTCAAGCCCGGTGGCCACCGCGTGCTCCTGTACTTCCAGATGACACGCATGATCGATCTGATGGAAGAGTACTTGACATACCGGAATTACAAGTACTGCCGACTGGACGGAAGTACCAAGCTGGAAGACCGCCGCGACACTGTCGCAGACTTCCAGTCCAACCCGGAGATCTTCGTCTTCTTGCTGTCGACCCGTGCCGGTGGTCTTGGTATCAACCTGACGGCAGCGGACACTGTCATCTTCTACGACTCCGATTGGAATCCTACTATCGATTCCCAGGCCATGGATCGTGCCCATCGTTTGGGCCAAACTCGCCAGGTAACTGTCTACCGTCTTATCACCCGCGGTACCATCGAAGAACGCATCCGCAAGCGTGCCTTGCAGAAAGAAGAGGTGCAGCGTGTTGTCATTACTGGCGGTGCTGCTGGCGGTGTGGACTTCAATACCCGTGCTCGGGAGAACCGCACTAAGGACATTGCCCTGTGGCTTGCCGACGATGACGAAGCGGAACTCATTGAGCAAAAGGAGAAGGAAGCCATCGAACGTGGTGAGACCCTTGGCGCTAAGGGCGGGAAGAAGGCCGCTCAGAAACGCAAGCGGGATCTTACGCTGGATGACATGTATCATGAAGGTGAGAATACCCCACACTATTGTTGTGGTTGATATCCATACTAATCGATTATATAGGCGAGGGTAACTTTGACGACGCCAGCGCCAAACCCTCAGGGGCTGCTACTCCCGCCGAGGAGCCTATCGAGACCCCTTCGTCGACGCCTGCGAAGCGCGGGCGCGGCCGTGGTGGCGGCAAAGGCACGTCAAAACGAGCCAAGACCACGAAAGAGCGTCTTCGTCTGATTGACGGCGACGGCGGCCTCGATATTTAAGCGGCAATGATGGTCAATTAATGCAACTCGGGACGGCGTTTAATGTCAATGTTTCTTCTCTTTTCTTCTTTTCTTTTGTGCCAATTGCTTATTCTCATTCCTCCTTATTTTCCACCTTCCCTCTTCCCCTTTTCTTCTTATCTTCTCGAACGGCAGATACATGAACTGCTCTGTATTATCATACAAAACCTTGACTATGTTCTGAAACAGCGATGTGGGCTCAGTATGGACATTTCCCAAAGTCTGGAGACTGAGGGTGGTTGATGCAACGGAAACATGTTCCTCTCCCCTGTGGTAGACTTGATCCTGGCTTTGGCTTGTGGTTCATCGGTGGTGGTGGTTTGAGTGTGAACTCGTTGTGTTTTGTTTCTTTCTTTGCCCCATTTTATATTGTTCTCGTTTTCCTCACCTTTTCCTATTTTTGGCTTTTTTGGCTCCCTTGTATGTCCAATGTTCAAAAACGGCGCTCATGTTTTAGTTTGGTTATGAGTGTCAATGTATTGGTTTGATGGACTCTTATGCCCTTGGTTTTGGCTTGTCATTGTTGAAGTCGTAGGATTAGAGGCCATTGTAGGGAAATGTAGTGTTCTAGGGTTATGAATGCTGATGGTTGATGTCTGATAGTGAACTTAGGGTTTAGGTTATCCATGTACTCAGGTACTCGGCCTTGTCCACCAGCCCCTTGGAGCTCATGCTTAGTACTAAATACGAAAGAAACTATGCATGGTACATACACGTATGTAGCCTGTAGTCTTGCAAGAGGTCCCTTTTACTCTCGCCCCTCAATTATCAACTACTATAAAGTTAACCCCTGAGTCAAGCTACTTTCTAAAACCATGCCATACAGCTTACAATAGAAACAATACCACTAAAACATCACACAAAAACACTCGTCGTTGTATTTCCTGTCATATACATCTCCCCAGTCTCAGTCCTAATTCGGTCTCATCTTTCAAGTAATGGTGAGAAGACGGCTTTACCCGGTCTTGGTCCAGACATAATCCACGGTGTCTGTCGGTTCGGCAACTCACCCAGCACGAGATGCCATAGTCAGGATGGGATGCAAGTGAGGGCTGATGGTTATGCGTAGGGTTCTCGATGGTGAGATGCCAAAGACGTATTGAAAGATCTAATCGAAGAGCCATCTTTAATGGGGCCGTCCTCGCAACTTTCCTCATGGTATTGCTGAGCAATTGCGGGATCAGGATGTTGCTGAGCAAATTGCGGGATCAATGTGGTGCCTTTGTCGGAGATGTCAAAGTGTTTCGAAATAGCAGTTTTATCGTACTCCCACTCCTCACAACGACGGCATTGGGCAAGAAAGGAGTGGCTGTAGCTAACTTCCTCAGTCCCCTGCTTGGCCCGGGGGGCATGAAAGGATCGATATATCGGTACCAATTCGGACGCCAACAGCATGATAATGGAGCCATCTTCCAAATACACTCCCACACCGAATGTTCCGCTTGGTCATCGCGTCGACAACTACCAGCCTCATCTGGGTTATTACCATGCTCCCGGAGGCCAATGTTCAAACTCTGCCTGGAGAAGGCGGTTCTTGCGGAGTTGGTTGGGTGTAGACACAGACGCTGGTATCGCCAGCCCCTTCTGCTGCCGCATCACAGGGTCCATCTCGATTGTAGGATGAAAGTCCATATGGATGCAGGCGTGTCGCGAACTGCGGAGTCCTCCTTTTTCTTCTGGGCGGGGTTGTGGTGGCTACGGGCCAGCGCAGTTACTTGCCTTTATCTTTGTTGCGGTCCAGGTAAATGGTTCCCTGTGGAGGATATCCGGCATGAGCATAACACATAACCGTATATGAAGATCTGCGAAATACTCACCATTTCACATCTGTCACTAGCAATGGAACGCCTTTTGGAAAAGTCACTGCGGCAGTGCAAGGCCTTGCACTGCCTGCCCTGTCTGTCACCATTATTCAACGAGACTGATAGACATTTGTAAGTAATCTTGAACAAGATATACGTCTCAAATAAAGAAAAATCACGCATTGGAGAAATTTTGATCTTTCAACGGATAGTGGTTTCTTGGGTTGGCCATAAGATCATATAGTATTCTAAGGTTCTAACAGACTATATAGTTTGATACTGAGATAAAGACCTCAAAATTCCAAAGCAAAACCGTGGCTGGTATCCCATGAAATTGGCTTGTGGTGTTCACGCTAGTATTAGCTGTTATATGTTGTACTTTAATGAAGTATTGAGTATGATGTAGCCCCTATTAGCGTGGTTCTACTTTCATATAAAATAGGATATTCTGTCCAACCTCTTCTACTGACCAACCCCTATCACCTTGCCAGTTAGCAACTTAAAAGCCCTAACTGGCCTAGTGGAAATGCAGAAGAATTGCCTTCAACTATAAGAGTGTGCAGGTCCACATTGACATGTGGAGCGTTGATTCAATTCTAGGAAAGGATCTACCATGAATTGTACTGTTGTAGTGCTATAAGATCCCCAAGTGTAACCTGCTGTGGCAAGTTTCCTTTTTTCGTTCATTGGAAATAGTAATATTTCATAGCAAGTCTGAATGATATGTTGAAAGAACCAAATATGGACTGGCTGACATGTAACAAGAGTAACATCCAGGTGTGCTCGAATGGTCCCAGAATATGCACTTGCAGGGTATACTCATCTTGCTCATGTATTTTTATACCCTATTTATGCCTGGAATTGAACTTTCATGAAGTTCAATATTTCAGCTGCCGAGGTATGAGACTTAATATCTGCGAAAGTGAAGTGGCAAAGTCCTCGGTTGTGAGACACCTCGGAAAGAAACATCCGTTTGAACATTTGGACCAATCAGAGCTCTCCATATGTAAGCCGTTCCAGATCCCGCCAGATCAGTCAGCCCCCAATTTTCCCTTTGGGTCCGCCGGGTTTTGATACTGCGAACTACATATCTCCTCGAATTCACGGGGATTTCTTCTGTTCTGTTTCTCGTTTTCTCAATTTGGCTCAATTTAACCATGGAGGCTCTCTTGCAACAGTCTCGCACGATGTGCCCTTTCCTCAAGCGCACATCCCCACTACCCTCCGCACTCTGTCGACCGCTACTCGTCCTAGCCCGGGCGGTGGAACCATGTCCAACCTGCAAGTCCTGGGTCGCCGATGCCCAGTCATGAGCAAGGCTCTGGCTGTGCAGAGTGCCCGTCTTAGTGGCACCAAGCGGTTCGCCTCGCGCGCCGCCGGAGTCGCTGGATGCCAGTCTCTGCGGGTTCCGACTGGCAAACGGTCGTTGCACACCACCGGTGGTCACCCCGCTAGTCTAGCCTCTGGAGGATACGAGAAGAATGAGCGAGGTAAATTGAGTTTTTGAAGCTTGGGCTTTGAGCTGTTTCTAATCTGACTACAGGAAACCCTAACTTGGCCAATCCGCTCCGCTCGTCCCCTACCGCCGCCGGCGTCGGCACTGCAGTCCGCGGTCCCCGCCCGGAAGCCCCAACCAACGAAAAGTTCAACTATGGTAACTTTTATAACGCGGAATTGGAGAAGAAGCACAAGGACAAGTCCTACCGCTACTTCAACAACATCAACCGTCTCGCCAAGGAGTTCCCTCGGGCTCACACTGCATCGGCCGAGGAGCGCGTGACCGTCTGGTGCTCAAATGACTACCTGGGCATGGGTCGTAACCCGCAGGTCTTGGACTCCATGCACAAGACTTTGGACACCTACGGAGCCGGTGCAGGTGGTACTCGCAACATCTCGGGTCATAACCAGCATGCTGTCGCCCTGGAGGATACACTTGCCAAGTTGCATGGTAAGGAGGCCGCATTGGTATTCAGCTCTTGCTTCGTGGCCAATGATGCGACCCTGGCAACACTGGGTAGCAAGATGCCCGACTGTGTCATCCTCTCGGACAGCCTCAACCATGCCTCGATGATTCAGGGCATCCGTCACTCTGGCGCGAAGAAGATGGTCTTCAAGCACAACGATTTGGAAGACCTTGAAGCCAAATTGGCCTCATTGCCACTTAGCACCCCCAAGATTATTGCCTTTGAATCCGTCTACAGTATGTGCGGATCAATTGCGCCCATTGAAAAGATTTGTGATCTCTCCGACAAGTACGGTGCCATCACTTTCTTGGATGAGGTCCATGCCGTAGGAATGTACGGCCCACACGGAGCTGGCGTTGCTGAGCACCTCGATTACGACGTGTACGCATCGCAGGATACATCTTCCCCTCAAAGCACCAAGGGCACAGTCCAAGACCGAATTGACATCATTACCGGTACTTTGGGCAAAGCCTACGGCTGTGTCGGTGGATATATCGCAGGCTCGGCAGCCATGGTGGATACCATCCGCTCCCTTGCTCCTGGGTTCATCTTCACCACTTCGCTCCCACCAGCCACTATGGCTGGTGCGGATACCGCCATCCAGTACCAGTCCCAGCAACCCCGGGACCGCATCCTCCAACAACTCCACACCCGGGCAGTCAAGACCGCCCTCAGTGATTTGGACATCCCCGTCATCCCCAACCCCTCACACATCGTCCCCCTCCTGGTCGGTGATGCCGAGCTGGCCAAGCAGGCCTCCGACAAACTTCTCGAGGAACACGGCATCTACGTACAGGCCATCAACTACCCCACCGTTCCCCGCGGCGAGGAGCGTCTGCGCATCACCCCCACCCCAGGCCACGTGAAGCCGCTGCGCGAGCACCTCGTGCAAGCCGTCCAAGCCGTTTGGAACGACCTAGGCCTCAAGCGCACCAGCGATTGGAAGAGCCAGGGCGGTTTTGTGGGCGTTGGCGTCGAAGGTGCCGAGGCCGCCAACAGGCCCATCTGGGAGGACGCCCAGCTGGGTCTGCAGGCTGGCGAGACACTCGAGGGCGCTGTTTCTCGTGAGTTCAATGACGCCGCTGCCCAGGCCGCCGTGCCGCCCCTCAAGGCTGCTACCCCTCTGACCGAGAAGGCCTACTCGGGAATGAACTCCACCCCTGTTGGTGTGGTTGCGTAGAGCAGACGAACCCCGTCTTTTACGCCTCTCGGT